CCCGCCCCACCTTACGGCACCGTGACTCTCTCTCTGCCTCCCTGGTGTGTACTTTGTGTTGCTTTCACTTCTCTCCTGCTCCTCTCCCTCCTCTTTTATTTCCCTTGAACCAGATTTGGAGGACATCCCGAACCTGGCTCAAGGCCACTGGGCAGCGCTGGTCTCCGTGGCACAGTTACTGTGTCTGTCCACACCAAACTGAGAGGTGGACCTACCTCTCTGTCTCTCTCAAATTCTGTGCCTTAGAGTCTCTTGGTCCAAAAGCTGGCTCTCTCAAAGAAGCACAGGCCCCTCCCAGCCTGCTAAAGGGTTTTCTGGCTGCCCGTTGCGACGGGGCGTCCCAGAGACCCTAGCAGCCTATTACCCATGCAGGGGGTGCAGGCCTCTACTCGAGGTCATACTGGTGCCCTGTGTAACCCTTTTGAGCTCTGTCTCTACGGTCCAGAGTCTCTCTGTTCTATCCCTGCTTTCTGGAACCCGGGAGAAAGCCAACCCTACAAAGGCCCGGGCGTGACCTGAAACGACTGGTCCTAAGACCCGGTAGCTGGGAAGGCAGATGCCGGGGCCTCCATTCCCCACCTTCTCCCTCCCTCCTCTCCATCAACTACTCTCCTTCCTTCTCTTCCTTTACAACCTCTCACTAGGCTCCTGCTCTCTCCCCCATCCTCCTTTTCCTGTACTCTGTCTCCCGTTACCATCTGGTTGTGTCATATTCATTGTTGGTTGAGTTTTTCAATACTGAGTCCAAAAGACACACTGGTGTGCTGAGAAACTCATTCCTTCTACTGGTCATGGGACGCTGTTTCCAGGGAAGGAACACACCTTGCCTATCCAGGACAGGAACCTGCTCTGTCTCCTCTCTGGTGAACACACCTCCCTAGTGTTTGTAGGACGCTACCTCCAGTAGACTGGGACCACTCCTCAGGCCTCCAGCAGAAGGGGATGCCTTTCTGCACGTTGGTTCCACAGGTACCTGTTTGACACAACCAGCAGTTCCTGTGTCCCCTTCTGCTTCTTCCTCCTGCTCTCCTGTTCCTTGTTTCTGGCACTGTTCTACCAGCATCCTCACTCTGTCCCCAGTCCCACCCCTCAGGGTGAGAGAATCCTCATCATCTCCTTCTACCTGTTTACTCAGTTTCTCATCCATTTTCTTATTGCTGCCTATTTAATCTGTCACTATGGGAACCCTCAGTCTAAGCCTGAGGCTCTCCCTTGACTTCCTATAGCCAGTATTCATGGGTCCAGGAATCAAGGGGTGGAAGTGGGAATGATTCCACTCACTATCACCCCTGGTGACCCTCTATGAAAATTTTTGTTTCCTGTACCCTCGACTTTGCACTCTGCTGGCTTGGATGTTTTGGTTCCAGAGGAGGGAGTGCTTCTGCCAGAAGAGACAATAAACATTCCATTGAACTGGAAGCTAAGACCTCCCCCTGGACACTTTGGGCTTCTGATGCCCTTAAGTCAGCAGGCTAAGAAAGAAATAACAGTATTGGGAGGGGTGATTGACCCAGACTACCAAGGGAACATTGGACTGCCTGTCGACCACCAAGGACTTTGTCCAGATGCATGAGCTGGAGACCCCTTCTGCCTGATCAGACCCTGGCTCCAGTCTTCCCTTCCCCATCTTGACCTTGACCAGCAGGAAGTAGCCATGATGAGAAAACGCAGCCCTCTATCCTATAACACAAAAGGCTGCTAACCATAACTAGAAAAGACTGAAGCATCCCTCTAGGAATTAAAATAACTAGTAAGGACACCCAGGCTCACATAGCACAGTGCCCACTCAGTGGGAGCGCTGAGCAGCTGTGTACATGAGACCTGGCTCCTCCCCTCCCTGCAGTGGTGGCCACTCTTGCCACAAACCACTCTTTCCTCCATCTCTTGGCACAAGAGAACCTACCTACCTTCCTGTGGGTCTCCATGGATGGCCCATGGTGCAGAAGGCCTACTTTTTGAGCTCCCCTGCCCCACAGTCTCTGGTTAAACTGTGAACTCTGAGTATTGGGGATATCCCCATCCAGAGTTTTCTTTTTTCTAGGTTAAGCGACACAACTCCAAGCTAGGCTTCAGTCAGTCACACAAGCAATGGACCCTGAACAGAGACCTCCGACCTCCACATGTGCCTCGTTCTTACCTGGGTGCTGTTTTTTTCTCCAATGCTGTGTGTGTCTATTTCAGAAGTTCTGTTAGTATCTTGTGGGGTCTGGGAGCGAGGAGGGCTTGATGAGGAAACAGGCAAAACAGACCACCATGTTAATACTGTATCAGAGGCATAAACCCCAAGGCAGGGCTGTCTCCTCAGTACAGGAGGACTGAGGGCCAGCATGCCCCTTCCCTTCTGGCCAACATCAGACCAGCGCCAGGCTACTCCTCGGTCTTTTCAAGCAAGCATAGAGGGAAGCAGCAGGGGACAGCCAGCAGCAAGGGGCTGGCTCCGCCACCCCCACCAGCACCCACACCCACACCCTCCTCCATAGTCTGCTGCACCACACTTGGCAGCATCTGGCCTTCCATTGCTCTCAGCCACACACCCAGATTCACTCCCTAACACTACGGCTGCCTGGGAACCTACAGCTCTAACAGCTGGCAGGTGAGCAAAACTCCCCAGACCTGGAGTTCATGACCCACTTCACAAAAGGGTGGACATTAAAGGACAGAAGCAAGGTGCTCTTTTGTTATTTGTGCTCTAGCTTTAAGTCCCTCTAGATTCAAGCCTTTAATCCCAGCACTCGGGAGGCAGAGCCAAGTGGATCTCTGTGAGTTCAAGGCCAGCCTGGTCTCCATAGTGAGTTCCAGGCCAACTGGAGCCAACTGGAGCTACAGAGAGACCCTTACTCAAAAAAACCAAAAAAAAAAAAAAAAAAGTGAGTTCCTCTAGACTAAACCCAGGTCCCCTCTTCCCAGACTTCAAGGCTCCTGTATAAGGATTGTTCCAGAAGACACTCCCAAAGGAAGCCTCGGATGTAGAAGCCCACCCACAACAGCATGCACAGCTGTGGCTCTCTTGTCCGCTGGGGACGTCAGTACTGTAACAGATACTCAGACAGACCTACCTGTCACAGTGAGAACTCTTGGAGCTACTCCGTCCAGATTCATGCTGGGCATCCAGCAGTATTTTTTCCATGTCACCATTATAAATAGAAACTGAGGCTGGAACACTGTTCCCGTTCCCACTGCTAAAGTGCAATTCTACCCAGGAGCCTGAAGAGAACCAAAAAGGGTGTGGTTAGAATCTTCCATGGGCTTTAGTATTGGTATTATCTGCCCACTCACATTCCTAGGAGGCACCAGTGCTGGCACACGGTGAGATGTCGCTCTGATTCCAACTTCTGACACTTGCATTCTGTCCTTGGCCTCTCTTTAGGCCCAGAGTGCAAGGCCCCTGGGGCTGGAAACAGTGTATCTCCTGCCATTCCTTTACACCATGCAAGCCTTCTACAATCTGTGGATTCATCAGAAGCCAATTCTGTCACTGAGCTTTTCTCCCCAGAGTTCTGCAGCTAACACACAGGGCCTTTACACAAGCAAGGCTGGGACTGAGCTACATCCCCAGCTCTTGGTTTTCTGAGACATGATCTTGTTACATTTCTTAGGCTGGACTGGAACTGGACACTCCCCTGCCTCAGCCTCCTGAGTCCTGGGAGGAGTCATATGCATCTAAGCCTGGCTAAAACCTTAAACTCAACATAATCCACGTTCTGGGCCCTATAAAATTCCTATTTGTGACTACTATTCTACATTTATCTATGTCAGAAATCAGATCAACAGATTCTGAACAGAACACAGTTCATTTTGGGTAAATTTCACAGACTAGGGGCTGGAGGATGGCTCAGTGGTTAAGAGCACTGGCTGCTCTTTCAGAGGACCTGGGTTCAGTTCCTAACACCCACACAGTGGCTAACAACCATCTGTAATTCCAGTCCCAGGGAATCCGACACCCTCTTCTGCCTTCCACTGGCACTGCACAACACAGGTTCACTTATATACATGCAGGCAATACACTCATACACACAAAATAAAATTTTTTTAAAGAACTAGCTGGGCATGGTGGTGCACACCTTTGATCCCAGCACTCAGGAGATGGAGGCAGGTGAATCTCTGAGTTCAAGGCCAGACTGGTCTACATAGTGAGTTCCAGGTCAGCTGGGGCTACAGGGAGGCCCTGTGTCAGACAACAACAACAACAACAAAGGAAAAGGTAGAAAGGTAGTTCACAGAAAAGGTGAAGACAGCCACAAATGACTGAAAACTTGTGTACTCTTAGAGAAGCTCAATGCACTAATTTTGTAGTCACTATAATTTTACTAAGTACAGTAATAATCACTGAGTTATCTGTGCTTAAGCTAACATGACACAATGCTATTAGGGGATCATGGAAGAGCTTCTCAATCAATTTACTACGTTTGGGCTGAGGCTATAGCTCAGAAGTCGGGAGCTGTACAAGGCCCTTCGTTAGGTGTACAGTACCTAACACAGGGGAGTGAAAACAAAAAGGGTCAAGAGGACTCTGGCAAGTTCAAGGCCAGTTTGGGCTTGAACTTTTGAAACTTCATCTCTGAAAACCAAAAAAGAACTGGGCATAGTGGCATACACCTATAAACCCAGTACTTGGGAGGTGGAAGGAAGGTCAAGAGATCAAGGCCACCCTCAGCTACATAGTAAGTGCAAAGAAGCCTAGGCCATGTGTTATAGGATATCTTGTCTCAAACAAGCAAAACTTCCCAAAAAGCCAGGCATGGTGGTGATGTGTATAATTCCAGCATTCAGGGGTAGAAGCAGAACGGCTCTAAGTTCAAGGCCAGACTGTTCCACATAGTTCTAGGACAGCTAGCACTACCTATCAAGACCCAGTCTCAGACAAACAAAACATACTGAAAGCAGGAACAGGCTATGCAGCTCTCCAGCATACCAGAAGGCGTTTCAATGCTTAGAGAGGTCTGGCTTCAACCGTCCACTTGCTGCATAATGTGTCACACTCATTGGAAAAACACACACACACACACACACACACACACACACACACACACACACACACAGAAAGGCCCAGGATCAAATCATACAAGTCGTTACACAAACTTTCAAATGATGCCTCATTTAAAGTAGGCCTGGCCCACATGAAGCACACCACCAACTCCCAAGGCCAGGGTCCGCGGCCCTCAGCTGTTGTTATATAGCTTGTGAAAAAGCTCAGGAACAGCCAGACAGAAGCACATACTTCCCACGGCCAGATCCAAAGCACTGTACCATTCAGGGTTTTGTTTTGTTTTGTTAAATAGCCCAACCTCTAGCTCCCTCCTCTCCCTGTAAGCCGTAAACTTCTACCCTCTGGATAACCTACCCATAAGGCCTCAAGAGTGACCAAACCCTAGCTTGAGGCTGTCTATCCTAGATTCCCAATAATTTACCTCATTAGCATAAATTTAAAGGGGCCCCAAAGAATGGAACTCTGAGGAACAGATGAAAGTCTTAGTGTCTCACTGCTGCTGTTGCTCACACCTGTAATCCCAGAACTTGGGATGCTGAGCAGGAGCATCAGGAGTTGGAAGCCAGCCAGGGGTACAAACTCCACTCACACCTAAAAACTACAAGAGCAGTAATAAAATAAAAACCAGACGCTCAGGAAATCCCAGCAGTTTAGGAGAGCCGAACAACAATCAAATATATACCTACTGCCCAGGGGGCCGGAGTACAAGGAGCCCAGTGCTTCTGTCCTGATCTGCTGTGACAGTGTGCCACAGGCTGTGTAATGTACAAAGAGGTGGAATTTCTCTCACAGTGAAGCCGGTAAGCCCGAGTTCAAGGTGCTAGCCTGTGCTGTTCACTGAAGACCCACTGAATCCTCACACCCAGAAAGCAGACAGGAAGCCAGGTCCCTTCTACACACCGCTTGCATGGGCACTTCCCAAGGGAGCAGCCGTCGAGATCCCACTGTCATCACATTGGCGCACTGAATTTTAGAAGGGACACATTCAGATCACAGCAATGCTTTCTAAAATCACCTTTGAGGGGGGAAAAGTAACCCATTCCGAATGTTCTGCAGCAAAACCAAAAACTAAAACAACCTTGGGTCCAAAAGCTTACCAAGAATGATTTACTAAGGATCAAGAGATTTACCATTAACTTGCGACAACTGAAAAGCTAATGTACTTCCTGGAAAATAAAAAGGTGCATGCCGTGAACCTACTGACACCTTGCAGTCATCCAGCAGGACCATTCATCTTCTTAAGACGGGTAAAGGGGCAGGGAGGCTTGCCCACTGTAATCCCAGCACTCAAGAGCCACAGGCAGACTAGTTTGAGGGGTACCTAAGCACAACACAGCATTCTGAAGGTAAGGAAGGAGCTCAAGGCTGGCCTGGGCTATAGAGTGAGACCTTGTCTCAAAAAACTAAACAAGTAAAAGACACAATAGAGTTTTCGTTGTTTTTTTGAGACAAGGTCTCCTTGTAGCCCCAGCTGGCCTGGCACTCGCTACGTGTAGGCTGCCTCTGCCTCTACCTCCAGAGTGCTGGGATTAGAGGTGTGCACCAGCACACACAGCACAATACAGCTTCTTAACCTCAAAAAGTTCCCTCAGTTATGACAAATAACTTATTTCATGTAACTTTAATACACTCAGACCCCAGGGAAAAATGGCGGCGATGTTGCTGGTGCAGCACCCTTCCCTAACCTCTTTCCCACTTCTGATAAACACCAAGACACACAGCAAGTCAAATTTAACTCTCCCTCTGAACCTGAGTGAGATTAACGAAGCCCATTATTAATATTACAAACAGAAAGCTGACAGGTCAGCCTAAGAGCTCAAGTACAATGCCACACTTTTGAACCCATTTGGTTTTGGAAAACTAGTGTTTCAGAATATAAGCCAGGTTAGCCACTGGCTAGTTAGTTCTGTCAGCCTGATACAACTTCAAATAACCTGGGAAGAAAGTCAGGTTTTTTTAAAGATTTATTTTGTTTTCAAGCATGCATGCATGTGATATACGTGCTCACAGAGGCAGGAGACACAAGATCTGCTGGAGTTACAGGCAGTTGTGAGCTGCCTGACTTGAGTGATGAGAATCCAATATGGGCCCTCTGGAAGAGCAGGGGTGCTCTTAACACTGAGCCATCTCACCAGCCTCCCTGGGAAGAATCCTAATAAAGAAATATCAGGTTGGCCTATGGGTGTATCTGTGAGACACTGTCTTTTTTTGTTGTCTGTTTTGAGACAGGGTCTTCCTGTAGCCCCAGCTGGCCTGAAACTCACTACAGAGATGAAGCTGGCCCCAATCTCAGAGATCCACTTGCCTTTGCTCCTGAGTCCTGGGATTAAAGGCATGTGCCATGACACCTTACCTTCACTGTCTGATATAGGAAGACCCAGCACACTGTGAATGGCACCGTTCCCTTGTCTAGGGGCACAGAATGGTGTTAAGGGCAGAGAAGCAGGACATGTGGGTGTGTCACTTCTGCTCTGCTGTGGGTATAAGAATAGCTGCTGAGGGCTAGAGAGATGGCTCAGCAGTTAGACCACAGGCCGCTCTTGCAGAGGACCCAAGTTCAAATCCCAGCACCCACACAGTGGCTAATAAATATCTGTAACTCCAGTTCCAGGGATCCAACACCCTCTTCTGACCTCCACTTACAAACATGCAGACAATACACTCATACACATGAAATAAAAATAAGATAAAAAGAATAGCTGCTGGCTGGGCATGGTGGGGCACGCCTTTAATCTCAGTACTCAGGAGGCAGAGGCAGGAAGATCTCTGTGAGTTCAAGGCAGCCTGATTATATATATATATATATATGTGTATGTGTGTGTGTGTGTGTGTGTGTGTGTGTGTGTGTGAGCTCTAGGCCACCTAGGGCTACAGGGAGACCCTGTCTCAAAAATACCAAAAAAAGTTCCTGCCTGGACCTTCCCTCAGTGATGGACTGGAACCTGGAACCATAAGCTCAACTAAGACTCTCCTAAATTGCTTTTGGACTGAATATTACCACAGCAACAGAAAATTAGAACAGCCATTCAATGTAGGATTGTTGGGGCTGGGGGTGTAGCACAGTTAGTGGAGTGCTTGGGTAGCATGCACAAGGCCCTGGGTTTGATCCCCAGCATCACATAAACCAGGTATGGCAGCACATGCCTGTAATCCGCTCGGGACACGGAGGCAGGGACAGAGGTTCAAATTCATCCTCAGCTACTTAGTGAGTTCAAGGCTGACCTGGGATACATACACC